GAACTTAAGCCCGGCAACTAGGGCCATTAGCTGTTTGTAAGGGTTACGTTGTAGGTTGGTACGGTAGGTTGTATTTTTTATGATTGTTACGGTTGATAGCAAACACGTGTATGTGTGGCAAGGTTTTTTAACCACTATGATCCCGAGTGGTCACCCATCCGGGAGCTAGTAGCTGTGGTCGTTACTTACTCTCAGTCGCATTCCGCGACTGGTAGCAGCCAACGCGCCACGCCAAGCCACATTCTTAAGATTATTATGTTTAATATCCTACATTGTTTTTTCTTTTTGCATTTTAACCATCATGTAGGTATCTTTAACATTTATATTTACACATACAATATAATATATATACACGCATACTATAAATTGTCTTCTATTCACTTCAATTAAAAGTAAACGAGCTTCAAAAATATTAACAAATAAAAAGCCTGCAAGAAATGTTTAATCTATATATATTTCGAAATTAGTCATTTTAATTTAAAATATCAAATACTCTATAAACAAATAATTTATTTTATCATTTATACATATTTAAAATATTATCTAAATATTTTTCAAAACATGCGATATAAATATATTAAGATCAAAATATATACCTACTTAGAAGATACGAATTATATTTAAAAAAAATTAGTTTCTAAATAGCTATTATTGTAAGTACCTAAGTACCTACCTATACTGTACGAGTATACCTACTTATAATAAAAAAAATGTCTAATGATTAAATGATAAATAGCTAGTTATTTATTGTTGAAATATACATAGAAGTGTATTTATTTTTATTTTGTACATTCGGTTATTTCATCAACCTTCGTCCTTCATATAACATTTGAAGTAGGCGATAAGATACAACTGTTACCTTATAAACAAACTATAATACATGAACTTTAGAAATATTGCGTATTCTACTCTTACAAATTATGTACACATCAAATTAACAGAAATGTAATGAAAAAGAAAATGTAATAATATTTTCATATGAAATAAATCTTAGATTTTTATCAATAGTTGATAATATTTGGACGGAATACTTTCGATTATAGTGTTTGGTTATTTTTACAATTTTATTAAATTCATAGGTATTTTAATGATTAATATGTTCCATTAGTTTTTTGTTTATTACCAAATAAATATAAGCAAACGTATAACTAATTATGTTTTTCGTGCAATAAGCAATAATTACAGAAACTTGGGATTAAATTTTTCTCCCTCCAAAATAACTGTGGACTTTGAAAGGGCTATAATTAATACAGTTTCTGAAATGTGGACGAAAACTAATATTTCAAGATGCTGATTTCATTTAACCCAATTTTGGTATCGTTAAATACAATAAATTAGTTTATTGAGTGTATATAAAGATGAATTATCTGAAATTAGTAAATGGTTACATAATAGATTTGAATTATTTCTAAATCCGCGGAAGATGTAAGTGATTGTTTCATTGAAAACTTATGAGCGAGTGTCCAATTGATGAAAGGCTACAAAAGCTTGCTGATTATTTTTCAGAAAAATAATATGATTTATTTTTGAAGATTGTATTTATATCATTCAAAACTTTGGGCACTTGCATCTTGATAACTTACATGCACAACAAAGCATGTGAGTCATTCATTTCATGTAAATTTTAAAAATAGTTTTCATTAATATTCGCCATGTTTTTTACAATGGTTAAATATTTTAATCAAAAAAGTCTAAACTGACGTTTATTGAAAATGAAGAAGCACTAGCAAACAAAAAACACCGCGTTATTCTGAGAAATTGATCGGTTCAATTGTAAAATAAAAGTATATTTAAACAAAATAAAAAATAATTCTTCTATCTTTTAAATTTCTATTCCTTATTCTTAAATAATTTTGTTTTGTAATGATAAAATGTATCACAGATTTTGATTGTTTGGTTGGATAATACCAGGTACATTTATAATACACTATAATACATGAATACTTTATATGAATATAAATACATTAACAATGTCTGTATAATGAATTAATGTGTACTATGTATTACTCACACATCACATTAATGATTTGGTTTTTTCTGTATAATCCGATTTTTTTAATTTTGTATTAACAACGTGTCTTTTCGGGAGGGTGGTTGATCGCCTCGAATATATAAAACTATTATTAGGGTGTTTAAGTAAATCAATAACTTATTATATATATCTGTATAGCTTGTGCTTATTTTTATTATAGCATTAGTTATTAGATTAAAAACTTGGTTGAAAATCAGAATGACTTACTGCAAGAGTGCAGCACTTTTAAACATAGGTGGAACGTAGTGATATTCAACCGCCCCTCCTCTTTTGTATTTTTTTAATATACACATAGGCATATGAAAATGATTAAAAAATGACAATAGACATATAATTTTTTCATGTTACCTCCTCTATCTCCTCATATTCCTCATTGTAAATATATGTGTGCGCTATATTAGTACAACGTAATTAACATATATTAACCTTTTTATATAATTAAAGATAAAAATTTAACCAAACATTTGTTGCATTCGATTTTTTATCAGAGTGGTGTTCTTATTATAACCAAAATCATTTTATTTACTCCTCTCCCCACCGTGGAATTGACCTGATAACGCGCCTATCACCCTGCACCATGATTATTTAATATGTTTGCCGAGATTAAAACGATAAAAATATGAAAATAAAAATTATCTCAAACACTATTTAAATTTTAAATGGTAAGTTAAATATTGCGTCTTCTGCAGTATAACCATATATAAGTATACATTATACAGTTATACAGACACTACTGCAGCATCGTAGCATACTATGAGATATATTTAAGAAAGATGAGCACACGTGTCGTGTACAAGAGAGTGTAAGGAGGCTGAAGCGTCCATGTGATTTTTGGAGGTGGGGCTCGACTTTTTAGGGTTTTTATTTTAAAAAGTATTTATATTATGTGTCACGTATAAGTACTTATAAAATATTTACTTTATTTAAGATATGACAAAATAATTATTATAATTTATTTATAATTTATTTTTTCATGAAAAAAATGTCGATCATAAAGTATACCTACATTATATTCTTCGCGTTCACTACGATAAATAAATAAATTTAGAAATTGTTGCAAGCCAATTAATGGGCAATTTCCAAATGCGAAGAATATTCATTATTCAGTATTGATTATATTTTATAAATGTACCTATACGCAAATAATTTTCGATAAAATGTTATATTAGGATAAAACATTATATTAACGATATACAAACACAGAAATTCAGGCTACAGCTGCAAAGTACATCGGTACCCTGTAATAATTACTATTTTATTCCTATTGCTATATTACTTCCGACACTCAAAGAATTTATTGGATTTAAATTAAATTTCTAAGATTTTCAGGATATACCTTAGAAATCCCCCTCCCCAGAATTATAGCCCCTTGTATAGATTCTGGGCCTAAATTTCTTAAAAAAAAAGCGTAAGAGCCTTATAGGAGATAATTTATTTGTAGACTGTAAACTGCCACATAGATGCTCGTCGTATCCTAAAAGAACTAAGTATTTGCGTGCTAAATATTAGAGCTGGAGGACACCTATTTGCTTTTATGGTGATTTAACTTGACGAGAAATTCACTCTTTTCCAAGAGTATGCGAGATCATAATACTTCTTATTAATGCGTTGGACATTCTTATTTTTGTCTATAATTTTAATGTTAATAATATAGATTTAAAGCTTTTCGGCATTTATTACGTAAAATAAAATAGAATCTTAATACGATAGACACCCATCGTACAGCTGTATACGTTTGAGACGTGTATGACGTAATAAAATCGTTGTAATAGTATACAAACGTCGTCGTGTGACGACGGTTTTCCAACCCCGCGACGTCACGATGGCGGTGCATCGGTACCACGTGACGGGGTTTAGTGTATATGGTGTGTGTTTTAGCGCGCATTTTCGAACTGCCGCCCGAAACCACAACGTGCACCGCTGTTGCAGCAGTCACATACACTTTGTTACCTATTTTCGGTTTAATAACGAGCGGGTCATGGTTTGTTATTATCGATATGCGCGTGAAAATCTCTCGTCTTAAATATTATTTACACTCATCGCGCGCATATAATATAATATAGCCTTCCGTCGTATCGACTCATCGTATTACTCGTATTACGGTCGTCGCGTCCTCTACTTTCTCCTACCCGTCCACGTGTATAGTATGTACTCTCCCTAACCTAGGACACGCCGTGCGTAAACAACATCGTGTTTGTATTGGGTGGGTGTGCGCGATGCGAGGAGAGGGATGCGGCGGCGGCGTTGACGCGCGGGCAAAGCGGAATATTGTGTTTAGCCACTGCCACGATATAATATTATATCACGGGACGTGAAGAATCTCGAGAACGAAAATGGGAGGGAAAATAATAACATTGAAAACGTAAAAACCAACGCGAGACGCCGACTGCAGACTGCAGTACGTATATAGTACGCGACGACACCGGACGCCGGTTCCGCGATTTTCAGCGGCAACCGCCGACCGGCTCCGGTGTGACAGCGCCCCGCAGGCCGCAACGCGCCACCACCGTTCGGCGTTCGTTCACACATTTATTATATATATATTATTACAATATATATATAATAATAATATTACGGCTATTATAATAACAACACGATATATATATATTTTAGTATAATATTATACCATATTATAGTAATGCTGCTGCTGCAGTTGCTGTGACCGGCCCCCGCCGGATGGGAGTGATTTACGGTTCGGGGCGCATGCGCAGTGCCCGTCCATTTTTCGGTTGGGGGATATCTCGCGCCGGCTCTCTCGCCTCCCCTCGCTGTCGCCGGGGAAAATGCCCCGTCCGACGTGCGCACACAATACCACAATAACAATACAATATATATATTTAGTATTTACCATTTACGCGTCACGTATAATATTATTATACACCACCCCGAGAGGCGCGCGCGCACGCACCCTAACCTAACACGACGCGTTTTTCGTGGAGGCCACAACATTTTTACCATACCACCGCTGCCGCCACTAGACAAACCAGCCGAACGACGAAAACGTGCACCAACTGCACCAGGCCTCGATGCACTGTGCAGTATACGAACGCACACATTCGCGCGCGCACGCAGCTCATGAGACCTCACACGCGGCACGCGCGCCATAATACATTTTTCAATACATTTTATACTATACAACTGTGACTGCAAGCGTGACTTTAATATAACATATTGCATTACGAAATAATATTAAAACCGTGACTTTTATAGTACGTAATTTTATAAAATTGTGACTCTAGTGTATCCGACAGACCTTTTTTTCTCTTCTTCTCACAGTCGTCATAGAATATTTCGAAGGTGGTACCATAACGGACGATCGTTAATATTATTAACTACATACTGGGTAATTAATAATAATACAAATATATATATATATAATATATAGCTTCGATAATTTTGAGATACATCGATCGATCGATTTTCAACATTTACATTTATTTAATATCCAACCATTTAGGCGCAGTGAGTAGCACCCATAATACGTATACCTCCTACATTAATATAATTTATTATACAACCACGAGTCCTTAATGTTCATTTTCATCTGATGGATATTTTATATAAGTAATATATATTGTATCGCGGTGATTCGTATAATAATAGGTATAGTTTTTTCTTGTCTTTCGTCTCGTTTTTCCCATTATAACCGACGGTACTATAAGGTGCGACCTGCAATATTTCATGTTATGTTATATTTGTACGTTGATAAAACCCAGTTATACATTTATAAATTTGATCTATGTAATCTATCTATGTTTTTTCTACATTTCACATTTTGCAATGGTATCTTGTCCTAAACACCTCACCGATATATTATGTATTATATACTCATATACTTACACCTATATCTAAAATTATTGTACACTGTTGTCTTAATTTGTATGTTTTTCTTGCAGGTGTCGAACGCATTAAGCAACGATCCTGCACCGAAATGAGTGAAAACAATACTGAAAACAATCAACTCTCGACGGCGCCTTCTAATGGTGGTGAGTGATAGTAGTATATACTGAGTATGAATTTACGTTTCACTCTAGAAAAATGAAAAATAGGCATACGTACTTATGTCTAATCAAAACAATTAGATAATTTAATATACATATAACTGCATTTATTATATTTTCTCGACGTACTTGCCAGCTTATATAATTACTTATTTATAGTCGACCGAATTACCGATGGCGAAATGTTCGATTTAAGTTTGGAATGTACGAAATCAAAGTTTACTTATCTCATTCGTATCTACCTATCATATAGGTAGTTGTTATAAATGTATAATTTCGCTGATTTACATCAGCTACGTTATGTGTTCTATTAATTTATTATTAAACACGAAATCGTGCACAATCAAGACGCAGTTTTCATAACGGCGCAATTAGCTATTTTTAGGCTATTTGTTTACGGCAGGATCTGGAGTTCTTTCGCTATAAATCCGGCTATTACAGTATTATCTTATCATAAATGCATGAGTCAGTAATAAAACTATCATAGAATAGTTGAATAGTATCTAAATTGTATATTTTCTATTTTGATGGTTCTAGTGGTTCTAGATATTCCGCTGTTGGCGCTATTACGTATTATTTTAATTAATAGGTAGGTATATATTAATTTATGATTATATACCTATGCACTGACATATTAATATAACTAATACGGTAAAATGCGACCAATAAATCTTTATTTAATTAAATTATTTATAAATTAAGTATTGCGTTGATCTAATATAATCTAAAAAAACATGCCTAGATGAATACATTTTTAAAACACCACTTATAATTTAAGATTATATTATAATACAATGTACAGGTTGCAGGTGTATCCCGACATTGTTTATCTTTCAATACGAATTTACGATTCGTAACTAGTACCTAAAATATAATATTATATTGTATAATATGTTATACCTAACTGTGTTTCGTGAATCGGTATTTGATGTATTTGTGTTAAAAATTTCAATACTAGTTCATCAAGTCTATACCAAATACTATTAATAGTAAATTATCCTTTATTCTTCAATTGATATAGCTGTTAAAAATATGTTAATATAAAATAATTCAGTATAATATACACGACACAGTATCTATACGTATATGTAAATACGCAAAAAAAGAAATAAAAAAATCTGTTGCTCATATTGTAGAATTTTAAGAATACTTTATTGTACTTTTAGGTAAAAATTTATTTGTTTTATACCTATGCGGCCTAAACTAGGCGGCGTTAGTGAAAATCATCCCCATCTTGCTTTTCACAGTTCAATTAAAGCTAGTAGGCATCTATTATTATATTATTATCTCTAAATTCTAATTATTTAATAGTTATTAAACATACGTTTATAAGTGATTGTAGGTGCTTATAGATAGGTTCTTTAATACCTATTATAGACTAATCAACGACTTTACTATGCACAGTGTGATTGTGATATGATTTACTACATTTTAAAAATGTGTCTTATAAAATATTTCATTTATATAGTTTCATACCAATTAAATTATATTTTAATATTAATAATAATTATTATATTGCCCAGATTATAACTCGGGGCTAATTTGTCATAACCCAAGGCTCAGTATTACTAAGAACATTAAAATTAAAACGTTAGTCTTTTCAGATAATATATTTGAAAAAATATGCACAATTTAATATTGTACTAACAGAAAATGTATACGATACTTATAGTGCAAAAATATTCTACATAAAATTAAGATTCATATTGAAAAGTACAAAGGATTTAAAACTTTTAACCTAGTCGTAGCTTAATACTCAATAAAAGTTGTTATCAAGAATAATTTTCATTTAAACATTTTTACTCCATTGTATTTAAGAATACGATAGTATCAGGTATATTTATATGTTTATTACATTATTTTCGAAGTTGGTATTTGTCTTAGAGAAAACAAAATCTTAAGATATAATATAATGCGTAGTAGTGTACCTATGGTAAGGGTTATTAAGGTAGATTTTTATTTTAGGCAGGTGACAATAAATTATAGAACTCTAGCAATAAAAAGAAAACGGTAGAGTGACGTTTGGTGTTATAAATATATATTATAGTTACCAAAGTATATATATAGTCAATAGTATCGACCGGAGATATTAAAGATCAAATTATATATATAGATATACATTTACGCCATATAGTATAATATATAGTCCGTTGTATACATGTTCATATATTATACCCACCGATGTTGGTGCACAAGAAATATGTATAGAAGAATGTTGCAGCTGGCGTTTCTAAAAATGGTTTTCTCCTTCCTAAGGGTTTGCACTGTCGACTGTTAAGGGTAGAAAATCAGAACTACCCAGGTAAACGGGACGTCGAAATGCAGATGGTTCATATTTAAAACGTATACATTTTAAGAATTATATTATAGTTATATTATATTCGGTCTTCATGTTTCAATGCTACGTTGCCAAAACCTTCTTCAATAATTCACGCATACCGAGGGTATACAATATACGATATATATATATACTTTTTTTTTTTGATATATCAACCTTTTCGATTATATTTGATTTCAAATAATGCTTTGCGACGTTGACGTTTATTGTAGGTAGGTACTTTTATATTATTGCTTGTAGACAGGATTGTTTGTAGTATATCTAAATATACAATAAAAATAATGTATATTATTTATTTGTACTAATTTCGTATGCGTTTGCTAGAAATACAATTTTTGTTGATTTTGAATTCTACTAGAGCCGTACAATGCGTTTAGCGATCTCTCCTCGGACGACATATTTTCACGGCTGAACATAAAATTTATACAAATAGAATAAACACAATTTGTGATGGTTAAACATTATATAATGATTTATTATAGTTTAACATTAAAATAAAATAAAATACATTTGTTTAATTTGAAAATGGAATTAAAATATTCTACCTTAGAAATATTATCTATAATAAAAGCTATAGGAATGAACCCACTCCCAGAATCGAGCAACGGTGTTACTGTTAGAATAACTACTGTTCATCTGAATCCCACAATTTGGGAGGAAGACTAGATCTGTTTCTTCGAGCTTGTTTAGTATTATCAATTTACTGATATAAAAATGCAGTGGACATATTTGGAAACTATTAAGAATTTTGCATTAGTAAAAAAATGTGGTCTTAATCCAATCCATAGAGTATAAGTCATAAGGTTTAATGAGTTCTCTGGAGTTTTTCACAATAATTAAAATCGTATATCTAGACTTAATGTATATTATCTATTTATTTCCATTAATTTCACTACTTTTCCATTGCATAAAAATAATATTATTTTTCATTCCTCATAGGTGGAATGAGGGGCCTGGGAGTGCTAATAGCTGCCAAATATTATAAATGTTTTTTGCGATAGTTTTTTGATAATTGTAGATAAGCTATTAAATATTGATAGATAATAACCATATCTTGTGATATGTAATTAATGAAACGTATCAAAATATGACTGTACAAAATCGTATCTACTTTCCGTTTATCACCAATGTTGAAAAATTATTATCAATAAACGCATTATTGAGAAATGTCTTCAAAATAATTAGGTAATAAATGTCTTGTGATAATTTTAATATTTTAAATTAAAACTTTAGAAAAACTAGGTATCTAGTACTTATAGATACATTTAAATAAATAAAATTCCGACAAAACATAGTAAAAATGATTATTTTTAAAACCGTGTATTACCAATAGGACTACGTTCATTATCATTAATGGCGTCGTAGCACTTGGAATACGATCGCATTATTTTTTATTAAAAAAAAACAAGTATGGCGTTTTCTTAATTTAATTATATAAATATTTGTTGGTAATTATTTAATGAAATAATATTATTATATCTATTACAATATAAATAATATAAAAAAAATAATAATAATAATAATAATATACAAAATTATTTTAGTTTTTGTAGATTTTTTAGCGTATATTTGGTTGGTTTTTAATGCATATAAATCCGCGTTCTTCTTATAAATTATGTTGTTGCTAAAAGAATGCACCCAGATGTGAACGACTATAGTTATTAAGTACTATAGTGTGGAGCTACAATTTAAAATAGTTAAATTCTTAACATTTAGATATAGTGGCGTAATCATTGATTTAGCCTTTCTGTGATTATATTATGTTATATTGAGATTAAATTGTGTTCTAGATGCTGATTGTACTGATTTTATTTTAATAACAAACGTGTTTCGATATTTTATTTTATATGAATATCTCTCATTAACTAGTAACTTGCATACATATAATTTACGTTTACTTAACAATAACCACCTATGATCTATGCGTATAGAACTATGCGTACCTACTTACTTAGGTAGTTACTACCTATGGTCGGCAAAAATATTAAATTATCACGGTTTTGTCAATCCTGTCCAGTTTTCAATGAGCCTATTTTTAATTTCAAGAAACTTTAAGTTTTATTCTTAGATTTTTTTTACAATACTTAGAAAGATCAAATTGTAGACTTTTCATTTTACACGACACACTTTATACTCTAAAACACACACTATTTTAGGTCTAGGTGTTTCATATTTTAAACGTACATTCATTCAGTTGTATAGATGTTACTTATATACTTGCATGCAATAATAACACGTACTACATAATAAAAATATAAATCCACTGATGAAACTACACATTTTACTGATATTATGATCTATTGAAGTTAAGTCATATAAAAAAAAATACCGATAGAAAATTAATGTCACGTGTTTTAAATTTCAATGTTTATATTTAATTTTTATATTTACCATAATATATAAATATTAATTATGGTGTGCAGTGATGTATAAATGCGAATTTGTATATGACTATAATAATATGAGTGTTAAAATATTGATGATTCTTTAATTAGTTAACACTCATTTTCTTAAAACATTTTGTAATCTTTTTTGAATGACAACATATATTGTAATTCTAACAATTAGTTAGTTATAAAGTTTAGATAAGTAGAATAATTGACCAACATTTCAATATGTTATTTAAAAACCTAAAAACTCAAAATTATAATGATTAACAATAATTAAAAATGTAAGAGATAATGAGTATTCAGTGTTTAAAGAATCACCCGATATATGGCATACCTACATATTAAGGAGTATCCTTGCAATGTTTCATTATCATAATACAGTCGAAATCGCTTATAACGATACCGTTTACAACGATATTCCGGGTAGAACGATTCCAAGCAATGTATTTGGTTGGTTTTATATCTTATGTGTTGTTACATTTTATAATCCGGATATAACGAAGTTCGGTTATAATGATCAGATTCTCTTGGTCCCTTGAAGATCGTAATAAGCTAATTTGACTGTATTATTTTCATTCTGTTATATTTAAACTTATTGTTTCTGAAACCAGATCCGTTCATTTCGTTCATACAGCGGTGGACATTTGGCGAAATGACACGACTATTAATATTAGATATTATTACATCATAGTCATTTTATTCATCATTATATTATGTTCTATTGCACATGCCATATTGTAGTATTATATTTATAGTCGTAGTTATTATACTTCATTCACTAATAATCTACAAGCACCAGAGATTTATATACATAATATATTATGTTGTATATCGTAATACATACCACATGATTTTTTTCGTTTATCTTTTTTTTTTTATCTATAAATGAAAAATAACATTTATTATGATAAACATTTAAACCATTCAAATTAGAACATTGTGCATATTACGAGTATATAAAATTACATCCGGTGTATAGTTGTTAACGATTTATAATTTAATATATATCATGTTTAGTAGTTGATATTGTAAGTAATTTAATTTGCAATGATCTGATAAAACCAATAGCACACGAAAAAGACAAAATCAATTGTATTTATCTATTTCTGATAATGATTGATTAAGTACCTATAGGCTATATTGTATATAATTTTTCTTATTTTCTTAAACATTAAAATACAATTTTGTTAAAAAATTAGACTAAATAATTTTTATCATATTTAGCAAAAATTTAAAAGATATAGGTACTTATAATAAATGAGTAATATATAAATTTCTATGTTTAAAATTACTAAATTACATGTTTCCGATAATAGTAATCATAGCTCCTTGGTTCATTTGAAATAAATAACACGAAATTGGTCTACTTATTGATATGGGTAATTAACCAATATACGAAAATTTCAATAATAAGTAATAACCTTATAGATGTATATAAATTAAAAACATAATAATATATTATATTATATATATCATAATATCCCTTCGAATAGCCATTAGCAATAGCGAGTACCTATTTAACCATAAAAAAAAATATGTTCAGGTAATTAAAATAATAGCCATTTTTTTTTTTTAAGTCGTTTATTTGAATGAATTATATACAATCTATATTAAGGTACACAATAAGTAAAAAGTTTAACTGAACAATGAGATTTGAAGGTACTTCACATTAGAAACGCCTAATAATAGTCATCCAAGTATATAATCATAGAATTTTAGAATTGTTATTATATTTTTAGAAGATAAATCGTTTCGACATAAATAATTAAGATGTTATAATTCTAAAAAAATAGTTTTCTATCTTACAAATATTCTTTATTTACATGAATACTAAATATTTGATATTTTGATTTTTAAATGAATAAATAATCCTATTTATGATTTTTAAACAGTTATAATTAATCAATTTTTTTTAATAATTTAGTTCATTTGGGGGATGATAAAGTAAAATCCAAATTTATTCACCTTAAAGATCCTGTGGAAACAATTAATGAAAAACCAAACAAAAATGGAAATGATAGTCTTTCATCCAATGATGGAGAAAACTTAAGACCGGAAAATGAAGAACTTCCTGAAGGTGTTCGCGAAGGAATCTGCAAATGGTTTAACTCAAAAAAGGGATTTGGATTTGTTACTCCAGACGATGGCGGTAAAGATGTTTTTGTTCATCAGGTAAAATAAAATGCACTTTAATACCATGTTCTAATACATGTATATAATATTGATTTTATACTATTATACATCTGTTTTTATTTTTATAGAGAGTAATTAAAAAAGATGGGTTTAGATCTCTTAGAGAAAATGAACATGTAGAGTTTACGTGTCATGAATCAGATAAGGGCTTAGAAGCTACTCTTGTTACTGGACCAAGAGGTCAATACTGTAAAGGATCAAAAAAAGCATATCCTCAAAAAAAACTGAGGTATATTTTAGACTTATAAAATGTAAAACATATTATATGTATTTATAAATATTTTTATTAGATGTTACAACTGTGGAGATTTTGCCAATCATATTGCTGCCAAATGCACATTGAGCCCTCAACCTAAACGGTGTCATAGTTGTAAGGATCCAAACCACCTTATAGCTGATTGCACTCAAATACAGAACAAAGAGCCTGTAATTAATAAATTCACCAAAACTCCACGAAAAAAATCAGAACGACAGAAGCCAAGACCAAAGTCAAAACCTGAAGACGGTAGTGTTGATGAACAGCAGCAGTCAACTATTTTACCCAATCAGAATGGAGATGAAATTAATGACAAACAAGATTAAGATAATTAAGTACAAAAAGACTAATAAAATATCATTTATAATAATAATTAATTTAAATTGCATGGAGATAAATTAATATTTTTTTTAAACATGGAGTTTTAAGATACCTGTTCCTTAAAAAAGAATATATAGGTATCATTTTGTAAACTATTTTTTCTAAAATAAATTTTTAATGTTGATAAAAAGTCAACAAATTAAATTATTATTTTCATGTGTAATGTTATGTTTTTAATTATTATTATGCTCAGTTATAACTTTATAATCAAATGTTCTCTATCACTGATGTTTGAATTCTATGTGTCTGTTCATGTTGCTTAAATAATGCAGCGAATACAGTTTTGTTTTCATCAATTTCTTGGTGACCATAACAAACATAAACTATACATGACAAAAAACATAAAGCACCTATACTCATAACAATTACTATCCACCAACTTGGTATGACCTCTTTAAATATTTCATTTGGTATTATGGTTACATTTGATGCATCTGGAAAAACAACAAATATTTAAAAAAGTACTATAAAATATAATTTCTATTTTTTGGAAAACAAACATTGTAATTGAATGTGACATAAATTATCCTTGGTGCTGATTTATATGTATGTTTTACCCAGAATCGTTTATTATGTACAAATTCTAATTTAACATATCCATTACAGTGTCTTGCTTAATGATGATAAACACTTTACTACAGAAATTATTTTCCCAGTTTTTATTTTTATTTATACTTCTTAAAAAACTGCTACTACTTTAAAATTGGAAGTAAATATTTTTTGAAAAGTTTTATGTAGGCAGTATTGTGCTTAAATTTTGTACAATAGGTATTAAAATAAGAAATTTAAGCAAATATATTTAACAGATATGGCAGCATTGGCAACCATTTTTTTAACCTCTTAACACTTTCAAATCCGAAAAAAAAATGTATAACAATTTAAATGTTTTTATTATTTAAAACAAAATATACCTAAAATAAATAAGAAATTAAAATGTATTTTAATGTACTTACTAATGAACAAAAATCATATAAAATATTAAGTATCACAGTTAATTAAGCTTAAGTATTAATCTTCGTTCTACAGCTATTTAAGTAAATTCTTCAATAATTTCATCATAATTTATTGTATTTAATTAAGAATACTTATTTGAAAATAGTTTATTAATTATTTGGCAAAGTATTTAATAACGGTTTATTTTAATTTACCTATATTTCCTTTAGAGTCAATTTTTCTGTATTTACTATATTATTTAGTCTGTTAGGTACATAATATTATGTGTAAAATAATATTTGAAAATATAATTTTGTTATCCCACTTTAAATGGATTGAATTCAAACACCTTCAATTAGTTAAAGATTTTATTGATTAATAATTAAATACGGTTGTTTTACTAAACTTGAGAAATTCGATATTATTTTTATTACCTATACATTTCTAAATTTTTTTAAATTTATTCTACTATATTCATCATTTTTACGTTGGTATCTAACGAGTAATTAATTGTAATTTTCAAATCATTTTTATTCCAATATAAAAAGAGGGTAACCAAAAATGAGCTGTTCGACACCGATAGATATTAGATAGTAAAAAAGTTCATACGAACCATGTATCGTTGGTTATTATTTTTTGAGTTGTTTAATCCGGCCTGCAAGAGAAATTAGTAGCTAGCTTCGCGCTTAGAAACTAACATCAGCGAATCGACCAACGTCAACATTGTCGGTACTCGGTAATGTCAAATGGATGAAGATAAGTCAATTCAAATGCGTTTTAGTCGAACGGATTACTTCTTTTGTGGGTCGCAGTATAGGTACTTATTGGCTACTGTCATTATTTATAAACTGAGTTATTGGACACATCAAAATGCTCGGTTGGGCATCGCAATACATTTCGTTAAGGTACATGTCTGCGAGTGTGCTTTCGGCAGTCAGCGTTCGACATCATAGAAATAAATTATAAATAGTTTATTTATTCTGATATACCTATAACACTACTAGATAACCGATATTTATAATATATATTTAATTGATCCTTTAAATAGTTTTTATGTGTGGTACAGAAAGTTACATCCGTGTGCATTGTGCACACCTTCATTGCCTATGACTATAATTTATACTAATAATATACTATTTGTCATTTGCCAGGTTTAATATTACGGTCTAAATGATTGTCTTACGCAATGGTCAGTAAGTTAGAGCATAAATGTAATAATTGGTTTGTTTTTTTAAATGCACAGACATGTCATGAAAAATTAACGTGGCCGTGTAGGTTTTTGGATAATAAATAAATTGCCATAATTGCAATCAAATAAAGTAAGCTATTTTGCTTTTTAATAATTTTTAATATATAATCCTACGGCTCTAAATTAGTTTACTTGAATTTAGGGAAAAAAATCCAAAGAAAAAATTTACTTATTTATTAATTGTTAAAATAATGGTAATTAATTATTTTTATTACATTAAATATTACAAATTGTGTTATTAATTTCTCATATAATGGATATAATAGGTGATAAACAAGGTTCGGGATTAATTGTTGAATTTTCCGACTTATTTAATATTTTTGGAGGTGTATCTTAATACTAAAATAATTTAATACAATTTTGTAAGGTTAAGTCTAGGTATCAAGATAAAGGTAATGAAAAATATAATTATTAGTAAATATCATGAGCAGGGATCAGATTTATATGCAAAAGCAATATGCATATAATATATGTGTTGGAATAAGGTTTTTGAAATATGATAAGAATTTTACCCGATTTAGATCATTCTTATTAAAATAACACCAATTGTATTTTGCATATTTTGCATATTTTGCATATATATTAAATGCATATTATGTACCTAGTAGTTTTATAGAGCATTTAATATTAATTATATTTATTATTTAATTATTTATAAAATAACGTAACTTGGAAATGATAAAAAGTAACTCGTTATTTATTAAATTAATACCAATAAAATTCAGTAAAGTTAATGAAAATTAAGTTAAAATCTAAAATTAACTTTTTAACTCGTTTATGTCCAGGCTTGAAAATGTGTTATATTTTTTATAATAAAAATACTTAATTACCATTATTTTAACAATTAATAAATAAGTAATAATTTGTCTTTTTTTTTCTAATACCGGCTTATATAGGTATATATAATATTTTATCACATTTCCTTGATAAGGAAATCACATTTTTGTTTGAAATCTAAAAATAATAATATTTAAATTTGATCAATATTGTGAATTTAGAATTTTAATAGATAGGTACATTTAAAATTTTTATCAAATATTTTATGTATAAATATTATTTATTTTGATTGTAATGTTTATAATCTCTAATAGTCATTTAACAGACAATATAGGCATTATTGACTTACGGCATGAAATAAATTTTGATTAGATCCTAATATTGCTGTTTTTTTATTAAATGTAAGGTGTATATTTATGTAGGTATACGTTTAATGTGTATAATGAATTTATAAAAATTAAATATGTAATACTTACTTGTATAACTAAAATCATCTTCAAACTTTTGCTTTGTATACCAACCAACCATATTGTTGAAACCAAATTGACATGTTCTAATAGTATCATTCCATGTGTAAAATCTATTCATATTAAATAATGTAATTATAAATTTATTGTAGTCGATAAAAAAAATATCGAGTGTGTAAAACATAAACTAATGTAAAAAGCCCATTTTGTACAAATATAATAAGAAAATACATTTTTTATTTGAGTTAAAATCATAAATTTTAAATAGGTAAAATAAAAAATAGTACATGATAATTATTGATGAGAAGTTTTTAAATTTAATCCCTCTATTAAAATATACAATTATACAGTAAAATAATTAATTATTATTATAATTGTATTATCATCATACATAAATTAGTATTCTTTAATAATAATAATAATAACTTATACTTTTTTTATTGGATTTTTTACATTTTACAGTTATATCTGTGTACACTCTTCAGTCTCTAACATGACATATTTATAATAATTTAAAATTACCTACCTACTACAGTAGCATTTTAGTGTTGTTTTATTGCAGAACATTGATGTAGTATTACAATCTATTTCCGTAATGCAACTTTTATTTGAATCATGATAATTTATATCTGTAAACGAAATAATTAATAAACATTTAAACCTAATAAATTTATTCGTATATCTACTTCTATACTAAACTATTAAAGTTGCATCATGTAGGCGTAAAAACTAACTATTTTGTAGTAGATTTTTTTAATACAAAATAGTTTGTTAAGAAAAAAATTAACAGGGTTATTATTCGGTATGCTATTATTATAAAATATATGTTGAGATACTTGTATGAAAAAACCTACCGTACCGTACAAAGTTTTATAGTTACCATATTCATGATACTCTTTACGAGTAAAGGAGTTGCATATCTTGCAGCTGAGAATATAAAAAAATGTGTAATATAAATACTTTTTGTTCATGGCTAAAAAACTATAAACGTACGTCTACGCTGAATACATATAAAAATAAAAATGGCAATATACATTGAATAGTTTTAAATTATAATAGTTTTGGATTCATTAGTATAATTAAAATAAGATGCAAGATAAACAAATACATGCAAGCATGCAACAATAAACAACAATCCTTAATTATATTATATAAATGAAATAACACACTATATTAGACGCATATAAGTATCTACAACTTTAATAACTTGAGTAATTAATATAAAAAACATTTTTAAATAATGGAAGATAGGTAGATTGTATAGCCGTATAGGTATAATAATAGCATAATACCATAACACAGCAGCGAGTGCAATATTACATGTACCTATCTATTCGTATATTAAATTTTATATACCTAATAGATGGAGTAATTAGTAATTACATTATAATTTTGTTGCTTATACGTCTTATAGTTCATAGTTTTTCACCTACTCATTTTAACAATTAAATATTTTAATTGTGTCTTTATAGGTGTATATTTAAATTTAATTACTATTTAAAATTATGTATAATTTTATAAATTATATTGATCACTTTTTTTTTTAGAAAAAATAGACAGATGGTCTTAAAATAAAAGGTTTTAACCAGCTAATACATTCTTGACAAATCTTTTAACTTTTTCATTGTAATTTAACCATTTTACTTAAATATTCCTACATATGAATTTCAAAAATGATATTTCCTGATTTTAGTTTTATTTTTATACAATTTACAGTTTATATTTATATAGCTTTAAGAATAATATAATTTTTAGTCAGACTTATAGTAATAACGAATAGATTTACCCGAATATCCAACTTATCCAAACTTAATAATTGTACTTGCCGAAACATCCAAATATTCCAAATTGTATGTCAATATAATATGTCGCATTCATAGGCGTGCGTACGGATAGGGCTGATTGGGCTTAAGCCCCACCTGAGCCTTTTTTTTATAAGTGAATGGGTGGGCATATATCGATTGCGCCGAAATTACCTTTTTACCTATAAGAAATCTATCGATTTCGCCGTATATCAATTCCACCAATTTTTTAAATATTGTCCGCCGACTATCAACTTCGCCGAACTTTTTTACATATTGATTCCGCTGGCTATCCATCCACTGAATATTTATAAATTATTTACTTTAATAATAGCAAAACGTTCGTCGTGGACGATAATAAATTATTTTTTGAAATATTTTTATTTACTATAACTTGTACTGTTAATTAAAAAATATACTTTGTATAATCAACATAAACAAATTTTTCGGTGGAATTAATATAGACAAATATCGGACGGAATTGATAGCCGGCGGAATTAAAAACAGCGGAATCGTTATAACCCCGGTGGGTTCTTGGTACCTAAGAAAGACGAAAGTAATAAGACGTTATACGCTATAGCCAGGGGCAGCCTGGGCGATAGCCCAGGGCAGTAATTTTTGTCTAAATACCCATGGGCGGCATTTTAGCTAAAACTTTCGCAATTTTATAATTGTATTAATATTATTAGTATATTTATATCTATGTGTTATGTAAAGACTATTTTATACTTTAATTTTATGTTTATGACGAAAATATTATGAATATGAAAATAAATGTTTTTAGATAAACCAATATTATTGCATAATTTGTATCATTTGATTATTTAATTTTTTTATTTATTTAGTTTTAATAGGGCGGCATTTATAATTTAGCCTAGGGCGACAAAATAGCTCACGCCGGCTCTGGCCATAGCCAGTGGTGTATTGGTATGGATACACGGCCACACGGGTATACGCTGTAATACTCGTCAGCAGATTTTCGTTTTCCGTCGTATATTCAACGTAAAATATAATTTTACGGGTAGGTATATGCACCTAAAATAATTCGAAAACCAAATAAAACTTATTTTATTGCTCATAGGAAAAAATCAGCGATTGTAAACTGCGCCTAAAATATAGATAAATCCAAAATCACACATGTAAACTGCACCCGAGTTTTTATTAAGCGTAAAAGGGTGACACGTAAATTGCGCCTGGCTAAAATTTTAAAAATCAATAGCTATATTTTTGCAAAATTATTTTTTATGTTTTCATTGCAACCGTATATTATTAATATAAATAATTAAAATTAAAATAAAATTAAGAATTAAATAATAATATATGATTTTAAAGAGTTAAATAATTACAAATATTGCAAATAATAACACATTATTATTGTTACATATTCATCAATTGAAGTTTGACTGCTGTTATATTTATTAATTAAATTTTTTACTTTTAACGTTTTTTTTTTTGTTTTTTGTTTTAGAATGCAAATTATTTGATAACTTGTTGATATTTCTAGACAAAAATAAAATTTCTGTGATAGAATTGAAAAAGTGCACAATCATAGAAACTTTAATAAATCAAAAATTTTGTATATTTTACAAACGGGCCACAGTTTAAGTTGTCGGGCATAGTTTACAAAAAAAAGGATATTCGGACACAGATTACGTATGTCCGAAAAAATTGTTATGATGTTTTAATGAATTATTTATATTATTTATCAGTATACGCTGTACTTCATGTATTTTAAAATAAACTTATTAAATAACATTTTGAAAAATATATATTATTAAAATATATAATATAAAGTATGAACACTCAACCCGTAGATCTACTATAATTAACTCAATTACAATATTACATCAAAGTCTGTAGCTATATTTGCATCCCAAACGAAGATTGGTGTTTTTAATATTTTACAAATTTGCCATTGATCTTTTCTTACACATACAATATTGTTTGAGATATTTTTAATGATAAAAGTGATCATTTTTTAAACTTGAATTTTTTCGTTTTAGTGTAGTTTAATCATATGCACATTATCCTAGAAAATAAAAATTATAACATTTATATTTAAGGAAATTAATTGTAAGAATAATTATTTAACTACCTAGTAATCGAATTTCTAATACAGAGGCCTTAACTGTACTCCGCACTCCACAGACACGTATAAATAAAATAAAATAGTATTAGTGTGCCTATTTATTTATTTTATTAATAACATAAACAAATATATTACGACATCAGATAAGTAGGTATGAGTTAGAACTTATAGATGGTTATTTCGCAACTAAGTTTATCAAATTTAAATACTAAAAAAGAAAAAAAGAAAATATGACGAAAGGTAGGTGCATCTCTTTTGGTTTAACAAATGCAAATAATCAATGGCAATACATTTTATGCTGTATAGGTTTTTTTTTCTTTGCGATACTCGCCAAATTGTGTCACCGCAACACAATTGTCGAAATTCTTATTAAATTGTATAGAAGTACAAAAATTGTTTTATAAAACAAGTCAGTTAAATAAATACTATTTCACTTTCCTATGATACAGTTAGTCGTGATATTATCAATGTATCAATTCATAAAAAACTAAATTAATATATTGTCTTAAATATAATAATTTTTTATTTACAAATAGATAAATTCTTCGACATTTTTAAATTAAAACAAATTGAATGCCGAAATAAAAATACGTAATTAATTACTCACTTCTATAGTTCTATAAAGTCAAACTTCAAAATAATTGCAAATGAAAAAAACCTTTATCACTATCAGTACATTATATTATAATTTATAAATTGCTAAATAATTTTCATACATGTTTTTTTTTTAATACATATTATAAAAAACAAATAAAAAATAAAATCATTTGAATAAAATATTGTATATTTTATGAACATTACTAATTTTTGGGGCCACAACATTTTTTTTTAACAACAAGGGATCTATTTTCAAAGTTTGAAAACCGCTGTTCTAACACAGCTTATAGAACTCTATGAAGTCTTAATGACAATAGCTCATAAATATTTTTAACTTGAACAGTAGTCAGTATTTAAAGTGTATTGGGCAAGATTTGTTTGAACCTAGTTCAAGGATAATCGCACAAATGTCAGAGAGTTATTCTTGCGGCTAACCACCAATTCTTTTCAAGATAACTATCTAACTCCATTAATTCCCTATGCCCATTTGCCAAAGTTAGCATTAGAGTTCCTTCATATTAAACAGAAAAACTACTCCTTTTTATATTCCTTTATTTTCTACTATCTGTCAAGTTTTTTTTTTATATCCGATTATTAAGGCTTGCCTAAGAGGAGCCATTTTTTTTGGTTTAACTTCTTTACTTTTGTTTAGCCATTGTTCTGGTTCTATGCATTTTTTGGTACAACCAATATGTATATATGATCTATATTGTATAGGCCAGGGGTCACCAATTAATATTTTTGAAGGGTCATATTAGGAATCTGAAAATTTTTCACGGGACATCAAAATTTTAAGTACATATTTTTAACATATAATGGGTATTATTTTAAAATTGGATGTAATGAGAACATATTATATTATTAAATATATATTACTTATCCTTTGTCTACGGGCTGGATAAAATATGTTCGGGGGCCGCCATTTGGTGACCACTGGTATAGGTAACCTATTCACTATTGTTTCATGTATTGAGTATTTATTTGTATCATTTTTTATAAATAAATATTTAAATTTAAATACAATTATTCTCAGCCATTCAATTAATTCCTCCCTTCCAATTGGCGCTGATAAAATGTAATTATAAACATATTTCAACTAAGTTTAACACAAAAAATGAAACTAAACTCTGTTCAATAAGAGAATACACTGATTCTGCATGTTCACACTTGACATCTTAACGAGACAGGTTCCATTACGGCAGGGTGTTGCATGAAAATGTGTTGAAAATGGAATACCTAACTGATTTTTGTTAGACCATGAAGTATTTTCTTACTAGACAGAAAATAAATATTAAGTTAAAATCTCACAAAGCATAGACAAATGTATTAACTGACTCAACACGTTAATATAATCATCTTATAGGAACTGATCATCAAATAGAACACTCTAATGATCGTTCAAACTGGTCTTTTTGCTGTTATTAAATAGGTATTAAGATATAATTAAGAATTATATTTTATGTATTTTGTTTAAAATATTTTTGATACATAATATATATCCTCTATACTAAATGGGGTTTATCAAAAATAGTTCTAGTTAAATGGAAGTTAATATTTTGAAAAAATAGATTTTTTTTTAATATTATGAATTAGAGCCTTCATGTTAAATAATATAATTTAACAGTTATGTGAAGTATTACATTCTTAAGTATCCAAACACTTAGAAAATAAAAATATTTTTAAGTGTTGATAGGGTTCATATAAAATACTAAGTTTGTATAAATTATGTAAAAGGTTGAATAATGTATATATTTTTGAAACATTTTTGGTTTCTGATAGAGCAGAATATGTTACTAAGTATTGAACATATGCATTTTTTGAAGATAATTATTAAAAAATATTTTGAAAAGTAATTATTTAATTTTAAATTCAATATTTTATATTATCATGATAAAATAAAATTGTCAATCATTGTTCTTTAATTCGTCTTGAATACCACATTTCAAATTGATTGGTAAAGAAATATCAAAAAATAAAAAATAATATCACAAATTATGAAAATATAATAATTAACTACAATTAGATTAAAAATACAATGTGTTAGTGCTAAGAGATATTACTTTATATTTCAATGTGATGAATTTGTATCGCAACAGGGTTTTCAGGAATATCAAAATATACATTTTGAGATAAATTTCAAATTTTTAATCTTTTTGGTATGTGTATGCAATTTATTTTTTTTAAACAACAACACAATTTTGTTTTATAGATTTGGGTGGAATATTTATTACTAAGAGATTTTTGTATAAAAGGTTTTTTTTTAATTACTTAATTGGCAAATGCAATTTAACATAGAAATTTAATGTTTATGAATAACCTATGTATGACAAAATTTTAATTATGTTTAACTTGAAAATCCAAATAACATCTCCAACATTATTCAATAACTGTTTATAGACACGTAAGATATTTATAAATACTTATTTGTTTTCACAATTTGAAAAAAGACCAAATAAATGCTGACACATTAAAAGAATTTTTAAAACATTTGGAATTGCTTGGAATATCAACAATCAAGGCAGAAACTTTGAACAATTTATTAGGTAATTAAAACTAATAATTACAAATAAATGAATCTTTATTTCGAATTTAAAGTGTGTAATTTTTTATTACCTTCAATATTTAGCTATCTTATTTTATAAATATCAATAGAAAAATGAAAGTAATTCACAAAAACAAATAAATGTTTATTCATATCCATCTGTTTACAATCATTAAAATTTTCAGTTATTATTTGATTTTTGAGAATAAGTTGAACATAGTTAATGCTTATTGTTTTTATCAAAAACAGATTATTAGTAAACATTAACATGAAATTTCATTTGCTAATTTTGTGATTAGAAAAATTTTTAAATACAAAAATTGTTTAAAATAAAATACTCTAAATTGTGTTGTCATTTAAAAAAACTTGTACACGCACATACCAAAAGAGTTAAAAATTTGAAATTTAACTGAAAATATATATTTTGTTACTCCTTTTCATCTCTGAAAACACCAATCCAAAACAAGGTCATCCAACTGAAATATTTAGTGGTACCTCTAGTATAAACATACTGTACAACATATTTGATACTAACCAATTTTTTTTGGATAATCTAACTTTAAATTGTTCATCACTTCAATAAATTCATCTAAAGACTTTGAGAGACGTGGATTATAAGTCTTTTCTTCTCCAATTGTTGAAACGGTTTGACCTAAAATACATATTTAATGTAAATATCTATTATTTTAAGATTTTTATTTTAATGAATAATATTAACATGGGCGTCTCCAAAGAGGGGGACGAGACGGAACACTTGCCCTCCAAGAATTTTGTTCTATAAATATAATGTATAATAATAATACCTAATTGTAATAATGACAATACATAAAATGTACTATAAATAAAATGTATAAAAAATCTTCATTTATTTTTTAAATTAATTTTGCTCCCCTCCCCCCAGAAAAATGTCTGGAGATGCCCATGGATATTTATTAGTATACCATCTACTAAGTAATATCTAATTATGAAATTTAAATTATTTTTAAAAGACATTGGATGTAGATACTGGGTTTGATCAATATTAATTTATAATGTAAAGTACAATAATTTTCAATCTATGTATTGAAAATATATAAAATTACTTTAAAACATACCCGTATAATCATGTGCAGGATATACTTTATAATAATCTGGTAACGAAAATATTTGTTCATGAATAGAATTGTATAAAGTTTTGGCATCACCTTCTTGAAAATCAGTACGTCCACAACCACCAATCAATAAGCAATCTCCAGTGAATGCTATTGCTTCATCGTGACAAACAAATGTAATACAACCTAAACATAAGAAACATAATTAAGATTACAACCTTACATTATTATAAAATACATGGTATTAATTGTATTAGATAAAAGATAAAAGTAAATTACTTAAAATAAAGAATTTGTCAAGCAATAAATAAAATAGTAATCAAATTTTGATGTGATTTTAGTGATTGAATTATTAAATATTATTAATATTTAATTATCATAATAATATAAATTTAATATTTATACAATATTATGATAATGTTATAAATATTTAAATCAATACTACTTAAGCACAAAACCGTATGAACAAGTACAAATACACAATTATATCTAATGTCTATTATAATTAATCAACATACCTCGAAAAGGTGTAGGTATATTAAAATTCATAATAAACATAAAGTTTTATGATCTCACAATAATGTTTTTGAATCATAAAAAAATAATGAATACTATTATTTAAAATGCCAACTAGATCCAGTTTGCTGTTTAAAATTACCCACAAAATTGAAAATCAAAACATTTTTAGGGCCACAAAAAGTGATGACAGACAAAAAAATAAATACATTAATCGCTCTGTTTAGAATCTAAAATATACATATAGGCATCTAAATGATAATAATTTTTTTGTACAATGTAAATTATTTGTGTAGCAAATTGTGTTTTTATTTGGATCCATATTTTAAACTATTTATCAACAATTATATTAAACATTTAAATATAATATAATTATATTTTTTATATTTTTAAATAAATGTCTACTGTCTAGCTTATTTTACAATGTAATATATTAAAATTTATTATTATTATAAAAATCTAATACTTGATATTTTTTGTTTCGATTAATACAACTAAGAGTAATATCGTACTCATATGCATGAATTTGTAATTTTAACACAAACAATTTGTTACTGATCATGATCAAAAGTTATTGAATATTTACTTTAAAAATCTAAAATAAAATAACTGAATTCCTATATTATGCACAGAGTGGTACTTTAACTGCACAGTTTTCTCTGGATGTGTTTTGTGAACGGAGTTTTGTCTTCTTATCTCTAATCTATAATACCTACTAATATAATATAAAAATTATGATAAAATGATAAACTTACAGTACCTATTAATGAAATTATTGAGTCCAAAATAATAAAAAGTTAAAAATTAAATGATGTTTCAAGTAAAAATAACATGTATAGTTACTCTTGAGATATTATCATTATAATAAGTTAGTACTAATTATAGTGATTTAGTAAAATTATAGATAATATAATAAAATAATCTTACAAGTCAGTTTAATCCATTTTATCCAAACACTACCCAATTATATAATATAAAATGTCATTAAATATTTACCATTAGTATGTCCTGGAGTTTGTCTAACTTCAACAGAGTATCTTCCAAACTGTATTTCATCTCCCGATTTCACATATTTATCTGCTTGAGCTCCACTACATAGAGAAATAATACTTTCACATGTTGGTATTAACTTCTTTAGTTCACCAGTTCCAGTCACATGATCAGCATGTACATGAGTATTGGCTAAAACAAAATGATTTCTATATTATACATAATAATTCAAACATCAAATCAATAGATATATTTAAGAAAATAGAAAAATACATACCACAGTATAAAAGATTCAAACCAAGTCGTTTAAGTATTGAATGATCACGGTTTACCTGTTCGATAACTGGATCAATAATTATTGCTTCCTTTGCTACATAATCAGCCAATAGATAAGTATATGTCCATGATTCTTTATCAAATAACTATAAAAATAAAAACCTTAATAAACGTAAGTATAAAATATTAAAAAGTATAAAAACAAAAATAACCTGTCTTAATACAAATGTATCTTGAGCAAGTCTACAGTTATTCATCACGGATGCTTTTGAAAATCCACGATACAAATTTATATGATTCGGATGTTGTCTAAAAAGTTGGCTTATAAAATTAGCTGCTATCATAATTCCATTAAAGAAATATTATTTCTGAAAAATAAATAATTAGTATTAGTGACCGGTTAGTTTTAGTGTACAAAAATTACTAACATGTCAAAGTGTCAACTATAATAGATAAAAAATAATCATATTATATGATACGTAAGGCCAAGGACAAATTTTATCATTATTGCTAATTCATATGTACTCTGTGTTTAAAATCCTCTTTGACCAAAATATAATAATTAAAATATATTTGTTTACCTACCTTAATCTCATAAATGAATAAAATATTATTATATAAATAAAAAATTATACTAGTATAAAGTAATGAATAAGGTGACAGGTAAATAGAAGTTTATACTTTTTCAGGCTTTTCCAAATTAATGATTTCTTTGGTATTCAAAAATATTCATGTTACTTTATTGTCTTTGAGCTGTAATTATTGTAAATATTGTTTTTTTCATCATTGTATGCAGTTAATCTAGTTGTTAGTTTATATAAAAAAGAAATTATGTCAGATCTGTATTTATTATGGCAACAATAAAAAACACTTGAAGAGTGTAGCAATAGATAGGTAGTATATATCTATAGTCATAATAATATATTAGTTATTTTTTAACAACTAATATGTTTCATATTATAATATAATAAAACATATTAGGTAGTTCAAAATAGGAAATTACATTATAAATTACATCAATTAACTGGCAACCAACTATGAAAATTCAAATTTCAATTGACTAATGAATAATAAATGAAACTGTAAAAACTAAAATAATTATTAAAATGCAAACATTTCAAAAAACGAACAACAGAACAGACAATAACGAAACAAGTTAACACAAAAAAATAACCACACATTTATAATCTGTATTTTGTTAAGATATCATTTTTTTTGGTTTTTACTTATGGCGGGAAACGTTTCAGATTTATACATCTATACATTTTTTTATGATTTTATAATATTTTTAAGATTTACAATGAAAAAATTATCTACATAATAATATGTCTGTATATAGGCCAATAAAAATTAAAAATATTCTTGTAGATAGCTTTGATATTATGCTTTATCGTTTATAACTTAATAATAAATATTCCTACAGGGGTATAAAGTATTGGTCTGCGTCACAATCGGCTATCACCATTGTTCTGTGACGTCATGATTTGTGAACTATTATGAATTAAATTAAATAAATCTAATTAATTTTAATATTGTTATCCACAGTTGAAAATTACTAATTAGCATGACTAATCAATAATTCGTGTTATCATCAGTTTAAAATTCAACAATTATGTAAAATATAAACATTTCCAGTTCTTTTATTAGTGCAAAAAAAAAAAACAAAAATAAAAAATTGAAAAAACAAGGATTTTTTCGCTAATTTAATTTTTGACAAAATTGATCTTGTTTTGGTGTAACGAATAGTAACGAATAATCATAAATACTAAATAATTTCACAAAATGTTTTTATTATCTTTTCATATTTACTTTACAATTTTCAAAATATTTTGACTATTTTAAGCTATTTATAGGTATGAGATATTTTAATTTTTTCAAGTTTTTTTCTTGAAATTTCGATTAAAAAGATTTTCTGAAAATAATACAATAAGCAATTTTTAATTTTAAATTGAGTTTATTAATTATTATTTTAATTTTTATTTAAGTAATGACCGATTAGCTATCATTTCAACGATCGCTATAACGTATTGTTTTAACGACATACATATACTTAATTTCTAAGTGAACAGTCTCAAGCTGGTAAAAATGAGAAGAGAAATTTTGGCTATTTTTTATGAAAAGCGGCAATCAACTTGACCACAACCAATTTGATGTCAGATAACGGATTATATTGAATTAATAAATCAGAAGTTTTTTGAGAAACACTTTTAAGCAGGTCTTGAGGGATTTCTTCATAGGGGAATCGGAGGCTGACTTGTGATATTCTCAAGGTCTAAGAAAGCATTATACTTTAAAATAAATACTTTTTAAGTTTACTTAACCTTTGAAAAAGTTCACCTGTAAATTAGAAATCGAAAATTTATTATTTAATTTCCCATATATTATTATTTTTTGTATCTTGGTGTTTGGTTTTCTTGAAGGTTCTTTCACGTGTAGTCTATAAAATACTTTCACATAGAAAAATAAAATTTTATTTCCGTTCCTGTATTTAAACACATATTTATAGCCTTACAGGAACTGTTATGATTTTCAATAACTTTGGATCAAGAACATAGAGTAAATCAATTTCTGTTTATTCACCGATACGAAAAGAAAAAGAAAAATGAACTTCATTACAAACACACAGTTAACATAGTGGAGCAAAAAAAAAAAAAAAACAAAACATAAAGCTTAATTATTGAATACATTTGGTACAATTCTCGTTAATGTACTTACATGACAGGAACATTTAAGAAGTTAGCATTTTATAATTGGTACAGGTTGATGCCGGTCCTAATTAGTTTTTAAGACGAAATTACATTAAAAATTTGATCTATTTAAAAATGGTATCAAAAATTGGTATCGTCATAGTATGTAATTAAATTTATTACTACATAATATGTTTATGTATTTACCGGAGAGTTAATGTTTGAAAATATGTCCCATTTGTAGATAATTCTTAAAATAATAATAATTATAATTAAAAGTAACCGATCATTGTAAATTTAAAGACACGTTATAATATATTTTTTTACGATATAAAAAAGAAATATGTTGAATTTAAATCATAGACATTTGTTGTTCGGGTATAGATATTAATTTTAATACTAAATACTAATTAATTATAATTCATGAGGTAAACTATATAATATACATTAATTTTGTGTAAAATATATTTAATATTATATTATTACATACAAGTCATACAACGATAAATTGGATGGGTGTTTAATATATCTTTTATAAATTATATAGCGCTATCTAGGGTATCAATCGAATACAATATAGCTTAAACCATTGATTATAGAATAGACTATTCTATAGTCTATTCTATAATCAATGCTTAAACAAAAATTTAATAAAATTTGGACGAGGAGTATACCATAGGGCATAGGCAATTTATTATACAAACTGGCTATAGCCCATTGGTCCATATACTCGTATTATAAGGATTTCCTTATCAGTGGCTTGGTCAACTGCTGACTTCATGCCATACATTTTATTTTATAAAATTATTAAGAAAATATTTGTAGTTTGTAATCATAATAATATGATATAGTACGTTGGTTGGCTTTTTAGCGTTGAAGTTTGTAAGTAATCACTTACTTAAATTCTCCATTTATTTTTTTGTCTCATTATTGAGGTTAAATATTTATTTAATTCTTATATTTTTATTATTTTTATTTTATTACTTGTAGTTGGTTAGATCAATATGGAATCCATTTCAACATCAGTTCCACCAGATATTCCAAACACTGATGACAGTAACTATAAATATATAGATGGAGTATGTTTTTACACAGATCCAAGTACTAAAAAAGAGTATATTTGGAATAAGGAAAAAAAATATTGGGTTGAAAAAGGCTTTGAAAACTATGAATATGACGACATTTCTAAAACATACAAATATACTGATAAACAAACAAGTAATTATGTCTAACTTACATTTAGCAATAAATAAAGTTTACCAATCATTATTTTAATACCTGTAAACATTAAATTATTGTTTAATTGCTTCAAATCCAAAATTTAACCAATAATTTGTCATTGTTTTTGTCAGTTACAAACAGATATATACCTAGTAAACTATATATTGTATACAGTTACTTTTATTATTATTATTTAATTCCATGGATAAAATAATTAAATGTTTATTTATAAATAAAATATTATTTTAGAAATTTCCTATTTGTGGGATTTAAAGTCTAATAAATGGGAAGTTCAAAAAAAAGAAACAATAAGCTTGGTAGAAGAAAAAACCTTTGATGATGTTAATGATGGAGAAGAATTTGATGATGATGACGAAAAAGGAAGAATTCAGCGTACAGTAAAGCGTCAAGATATGAGTAAAGGAAAGTATGGGCATGATGGTTTAACTCAAACTTATACTGATCCAGCTGATGGAACAGTGTACATTTGGGACAGAGAAAAAAATGCTTGGTTTCCTAAGGTAAATTATAATGATTCTTAATTTTATTACATTGTCTATTCTTATAAGCTCTAATTAACTAAATTCAGTAACATAGCATAGGTACATATTAATTTGGTATATGCGTTGAAAATGTATAGATTACGGACTTGTGAGAGACACTGTTCTTAAACCACCAAATAGCTAAATGTTATTTTTAATATAACTATAATACAACTTTTAGATAAGCTTTTATCATAAGACTCGCATTTGTACTGATATTAGATTAGTTATAATAGACTATAGAGCAGTGGTTTTTAACCGGTATGCTGTGGCACATTAGTGTTCCGCTATATATTTATTGATAGTTTTATCAGTTTTATTATTTATATTTGATAAAAACTAATGAATAACAAATATAAAGATAGGCTAAATCAATAATCATATTGCTGTATGAATTTTTTAGGAGATGAAGGGTGCAACATAGATTGAAAATGACTGCCATAGAGTATAAATTATTAATCTAGCACAATCGAAGGGTTCTTTAAGAATGGTTTATATAATATTAAATAACATTTTCATCAATAAGAAAACATTAAGACTTATTGAAATATTAACTTATTTGTACAAAAATTAAATATCTAATAATAATTAGATTATTAAGTAGATTTAAAAAGTATAAATGCTAAAAATTCATAGAAAAAATAATTTAACTATTAAAAGAATCGCCTTTGAAAATGGATAAATTATTAATTAAATTTTTTTTTTCTAAAAAAATTATTGTAAAATCAATACATTCATTACATTACTCAAAATCTAAAATAAAATGTTATTGATAATTGTTCTATGAATAAATTATAAGCCTTGTAAAGAATCGTGTACATTTAATATTTATTAACATTTTAATAAATTGTATTTAATATTATGTTAGATTGATGATGATTTTATGGCCCATTACCAACTTAGTTATGGATTTAATTCAAATGACAATTCTGCTGTAATCGCAAATAATACAAACACATTAAAAACAAATACTATTGAAGCTCAAAGTAAAGAGAATAAATCTGAATCTACCTTGAATGCTCCTGGTATAAAACCTGAACCTGAAAAAAGGAAACTCCCGCAACTTTCTGAACCAAGTAAATTAATAAAAAAATGTATTTTTAATTTTATAAAAATAATTTTTTTAAACTAATTTGTAGATTGGTTTGAGATTGACGAAGAGCATAACACAAAAGTATATGTTTCAAATTTGCCATTAGATATAACTGAACAGGAATTTATTGATTTAATGCAAAAATGTGGATTGATCATGAAAGATATTGACAGTGGTCAAATGAAAATTAAGCTTTATACTGAGCGAGGCACAGACATTCTTAAAGGAGATGCTCTATGCACATATATAAAGGTATTAAAAGTATTTTTTTTATAATAATAATATTAACGCTATGGTTAAAATT